CAGACAGATTTGATCTATACTTAGGATCTATATTTCCTAAAGTGTAATAAACCATTAACAGTTTGTTCTTTCTTGCATGTGCTCCAAGTGGATTGCATATTTCAATTTCATCAGTATATAAAATTATCTGCAAAGCGGAATGTCTGACGGAGTACAGTGGGTGGTCCCTAAGAAGTTCACCATCAACTATATCATATAAAAAACCCTCTTTACACCTCTTAGGTATGGAGCTTATCATTGTGAATATCCGGGGATCAGAAAACAACTCCTCGAAGCTCTTGAATAATGGCACATAATAAAATGAGTTAGTTTTAATGGTAAGAACTCTTGAAATTGTTTTCTTAGTTCTATATGCAGTTCGTGATATGACCACCTCCTCAGGCTCAACAGGGTTAAACAAATGCCGAATGCTACTGTCCTGTAGATGCGTAGATGAGACTTTTGAGAAGGGGTCTTTAAAGTCATCAAATACTTCTAGGACTGTTGTTTGGAGATTCTCCTCACTTCCAACATGGGTGTCAAAAGCATTCTTGATCTTGTCCCTGAGGTTGTCTAGAAGGGAGGCTTGGTACTGTTGAACATCTGCAACAACACTGTTGACATTCAACTAGAACCAAAAAAAATAGGGTTAACATGTATGAATGACAAATGCATTATCCATCACATCGGTATTTTTAATTTTTCTTAAAAACTTATACCAGACAATATAGTTTTTTTTTAATGTAACTGCAAGTACAGGATGTATTAAAGTTAATAAGTGCAAATACACATTATAATAAAAGAGAGGCAGAATTGTTTGTGCAGTACCTGAGATAAGTAGCATCTCTCACGGATATTTAGAGCAAATGCTGCAGAATGCCGGGACAGACTGTGGTCACTCGTAGCAGAGGATGCCTCTCCCTAAAAACAACATGATTCAGTCAAACTTCAGTGAATATTGCTATTTAAAAAGTACAATATGTAATTGATTTGTAGTGGCTCCCGGTTTGCGTCAGTATATAGACAAAAAAAATACCCCAGTTATATGATGAATGCTATTTAATTTATCAAAGTTGAGGGCAATAGTATGGACTCCAGTCTTATGCACACAGAAAGATTCACAAATGCATTCATATATAAATGACTCCACATAATTATTTTTCAATGCACACACAAATAGTTATCTTTCTATCAATATTTAAAAAGAAATCCACTTAAAAAAAGGTTCACAAATGTATTCCTGATGCACAAACAAATAGCCTATTTCTTGTTTTAAATAAATGTAATAGAAACCCACAAATGTATGTATTTAAAAGTATTTGCATTTGTATTTTCATCAAAAACACATTTGTATGTGATCACATTAGATATATTACACATATTACATATATTACACATATATATTATTATTATTATTATTAGGGTATATTACACCCTTGAATAGACGTAGGTGATTGGCCAAAACGGAAGGAGACATCTGATTGGCAACAGATAATTCCCTGTTTTTATATGTGGATTTGTGTTACATATATATATACCGATAACTATTTAAGTGTGCATGGAAAATATTTGAGAGAGTCATGTATATATACATCTCTAAATACATTTGTGAATCCTTCTGTGTACATTCATTAATATTGAGACTGATCTGACTCAGCCATACCATATGTTTATATTTATTTCATTTAAGAAGGGACAATGCACATTAATTAACATGAGCATCCACATGTAACTGTGCCAGATATAGCCATAGAATCAAATGTTCCTCTGCAGTCCCTGGCCGGTTGGTGGCATTACAAGAAAACTTACAAGAGCATGTAAGCACAAATAAAAGCACATAGATAGATAGAATAGAACATAACATAAAGTTAAGATTATGCATTACATTATGCATTTTCAAAAGGAGCTATAAGTAATATCAGTCAAGCAACATCCATAATAAAAACATGGAAACAGGGCAAGTACATTTTAGGCTATATATTGCTGTAATTTGTTAGAACAACTGTACTGTATAAGGTAAATTAATCTCACCATGTTTTCTGGATTCTCAATTTGCACCGGTTCCAGATTCCCGCCTTGATTTTCTGTGTCCTCTACTGGAATTTCGGCGCCTGTATGATTAGGCTCTTGTTGTGTATCCCGCCATCCATCCAAGCCTTCCTGCTGTGATGGTGTCACCCGCATGCCATCCAAGGTGATACAGCCACGAAAAATCGGAATATCATAATTGTCTTTGCCAAGCCTGGCTGAATCAACATGCAGGAAGGCTGGATGACTTGGTGGGCGACCACTGGCCACAAATGCCGTGTGTTTGCGTTTTAGGTGGTAGAAAAAAGAGTTGTATACTCTATAATCTGCTGCACAGCCATCTACCCCACAGGTGACATGGAAATTAGGACTTCTACCATGTCTTGAACTAATATGTCCAAGAAGCATTCTCAAAGACAAAGACACGAATACTAGACATATAACACAACGCCAACTCATGATTAAATCTCACCAAGTTTGTACAAACTCAATATTTCGCAGGCTGGCACTATAACGATTGCTCTCAGTGGGGTGCTATGGTGGGGTGTGCGAATTTGGCGCCTGCTGCATTATTTCATTATGCGAAGACCCGCCCCTACTCTGCTTCTCATTGGCCCTGAAAGAAGAAAACCCGGGAATGTGCAAGTGGTGTTTGTTATCTCTCATAAAGTCGGAAAATTAATAACTTTATTTACCATGTGTTTGTCAGAAGCTGGATCAATGACAATATCCACTAAAATATGTAAATAACGAATGCCAGTACTATATTATTTACATCGAGAGACCCTCCTCAGTCCTCAGTGTTTACAAGTGGATGGCTGTTAGTGTCCAAATATAGGATGCCAAGCTGGGAATTTCCTATTTCACGAGGATCACCTGATGCACCTCAAGCCAAGGTCCGCAGCGGAATGACACGTTGGTCAGTTCACCTTCACCACCAGAGAGAAAAGGCGGGACAGCGACCAATAAGTGCAGTTAAGGTAACGTTAGTAACTGAACGTAGGAGTAAAAGTCCATAGGCATATGTAAAATATTAGTGCTTTCAAGGTATTAAGTAGTAGTAAATTGATTGGTGAACTGTTAGCTGAATTAGCTAAGTTAGCTAGCTAACTATGAAGCACGTGTTGCTAGCTAACCTTAACCTCACTAATGGGGTATGTAAAAATTAAGCTAGCTAACGTTAACTACTCTCAGATAAATAAACTGTCTGTAAGGAACACAAAATTAGCCGACGTTAATATCATAGTTTTATTTTGGTATTCAGTAATTGTATCTGTTAAAAACTAGCAGCTAGTTAAAAACGCAAAGGGTGGTGGTAGACTAGCTAACGTCGACCTAGCTAGTTCATAGTGAATCACAGCAATTTTACTATTTAGTGTCTGATGCCTTTTTAATGTGATTTTTTGGGGTTGATCTTTAAAATGACAGTGGGCGTCTTTTCCTGTAAATTACAGATTGCTTCTTCATGGTGAGATGGATAAATTCGATGACACAACTGTGTCACTCTTAAAAGGTAAATCTCTTACATTAGTGCATATCTTTAGACATATCTAGACTGATAATTCCCTAATATGGGCTCTTTGCAAATAGTTGTGGTCTGTTGCTGAAATTGCCAACCAAGACTCATTCCTTTACTTGCTTTACCAGTAGCACTGATATACATTTAACTTATAAGGGCAACATAATACAAATGGTGTTGGACACATGCTTTTGGTAAATGATCTGCTCTCACACATTACAGCTGCAAGAGTTACCAATGAGCTATTACCCTCATTAACACGGGAAGACCTGAGGGACCTCCTACCGGGGCCAGAGAACTTCCTCAGACGAAAGTGCGCTTGGGAAGCAGTGCATCCAGAGGTAAAGATGTATTGTGAATGAATGAATGAATGAGGTGTATTGGACTTAAAATATAAATAAATGGAAACTTCGTCTAAAATACATGATTTCACAATGGGTGCTAGAAATGTACATGAATAGCATTTTTTCTTAATAATTTCTAAAATGATCAAATTGATTCTGTGGTGACATAAATCAGTCATCAATCATATGGAGGCATTTATGAGTGTTTCATCAGATATTTTTCTATACTTTACCTAATAAATTACACTTACATTTTTACGTATATCTTTTTATTTTAGATTAGGGCTGCTCATCTGATTGTAGTCATCACCTCCAACTGAACTGCTTTCATTTCTACATAAACATTTCCCCCCTTACGTGTTAAGGCAATGCAGCCTGTAGTAGGCTAGCAAAATCACTGCATTTCCACAGAAATATGCATACTATGTTTTAGTTCTTTAAAATGTGTTCCAACTGTGCCAACACAAATTCTTAAGTAGCCAGAAGTACTAAAGAAAGGACCAAAACAATTCCACACATTACAGCAAGGTAGTTCAAACTAATACTGTCCCCTACTGCATCCAAAATCACAACTTTCTGGTTTCATTGATAACAATGTTATATATACGTTTTTTTTCCAATTGTGAGGTGGTTATTATTATTATTATTATTATCCCATCTATCTGGTTTCATTGGGATAGTTACAGATAGTACAGTAAGACAATGTTACATACATATTTTTTCAATAGCGAGGTTATAATAATTATATCGTTTGTCATTATTATTAATGACAATAATAATCATTTGAAAGTTTTGCTTTTGGTCTAGACTTTTTGACTTGTGATTTTGTCACCATGAGGAACATTTTGATTTCTGATGTTTTTGTGCAGGAGAGCTCAACTTCAGCAGTGTCCGTAAGTCCTGCAGGGAACCAGACGAGCCTAGCCCAGACGTCTTCACCAAAACATGTGACTCCTAAAAAGATCATGAAAATAAGCAGTCCAGACTATGTCGTTTACACAGATGCAGAGCTGGAGCAAATCCGCAAGTATTATTTTTAGCTGCAGCGTCACGGGAGAGCACACCACTGCACCATGTCCAAAGAGCTCAGGTGCCGCTTGGTCAGAAACACCATGACAAGCATGATTGCGATCCTTAGGGCTAATGACATGCAGGACAGGGGAGACTCAGAGTATCCCTCTCATGAAGAGGTGTCTGCCATGGCCAAAAGGTTGATTGAGTACTATCCTGTGCTGCAAGATAAGGATAAACAAACCATGGGTAGGTTCTTAATTTTCAGTGTCAAAAGTCATTTTCTTCTCTTGACATTTACTTTTCATAAGCACAACAATATTGTCAGCTAATTGAAGTTATCTTTTTTAAACTTTAAATATACACATCTTTGATATCTAGTGTTCAAGGTCAAAATTAACATTCTTTTCCCATATGCCCAAAGTGGATAAAGTGAATGAATTTACCCAAAAACTGCATTATGCATTATTTCATAAAGAAATGTTTCCTTAAGTTTTAGTATCGAAGCCTTAACTTGTAAAGATAAGATCAGATCTATAAAACTTTTATAAAAAAACTCAATTTTAACAATCAATTCTGTATACGGTACAAAAACACATACTTTGCCTTTTTCACATTATATGTCCTAAATCTCAATGAATAGCTGACCCTCTCACTTTAATCATTGTTTTCCTCATACCAGTTTGTTGGCTTAATACTAGTAATGTGTCACCACATTTCCATTAGTGATTACATAACTGATGATCACTATCTGACTTATATTGCGAGCGTGTTTGTTGTCCTGATGAACCCTACAAGCTGTGCTACAGAGCTACTAGTGACTGACCTTTTCATTGTTAGGTTGATTGATTTGTTCATATCCTCACTTCAAGATTTGTATGGTAGAGATTGTCTCAGCCAGTCAATATCAGTATTCACACATGGCCTTTCATTGCATTTTGAAAATTAGTTTACTGACCAACTGTCCAGTAATTCATATTTATTTATTGGCAAAGACAATTTTTTTACCCCCATCTGTTGCATGGTGGGTGTTTATTTGTACTCGGCTGGTATTGTATCTACTCTTAAGTATTTTATGTGATGTATCATAATCTCTCTCATATCTCTTAATGAGTTGTCATGTCCATTTTATGCCACAGGACACAGTCTTCCGTCAACTGCTCAAGAGACTGCAGAATGTCAAATCAACCCAGAATGTGATGAGCCGATCAACTGCTGAGCCCAGCCCAACTCTTTCCTTCAAGAAACGTAGACTACTCTTCAAACCAACAGTACAAGACACGGACTATGATGCTGATACGAGCGCATCAACTGAGATCACTGATCTCTCAGAGAACACGCCCACAGACCTCAATAGTGATGACGGCACAGGTAAACTGGGAAGTTATGTACTAATGTTTATTACACCCAACTGTAATTGTGTGCTTCAGCAGCACACTTTACCCTCTTACCCCTTATTATTCCACTTCTTCCACCTAAATGTTGTCCTCTTACTCCTTTCACACCGTTTAAGCTATCGACATTGTTCAAACTTTAAAATGTTCAGTGTTTTGCTGTAGTGTGCTGCTGTACAGATTTTTTATATTATTTTCTTTTTTTTTATCCCCATACAAATAATTTTGCTGTCTGAACAAATACAGATACAAATACGAGTACAAATTGTGGCCTCTGCACATATCTAATCTTTGCTTTGGTGTGACTCATCTCTTTTGAAGTTGATTCAGTGCAATGCCATGACTCCAGAAAAATGCAAGCCAGACACTACAAAACCCTTCAGGAGTTGTGGAAGAAAACTAGACCGAACCAACAGGCCGTGGGTCATCTCTTGGATCTTGAGTTTGAGTCAAGGAGAGCCTTTATAGACTCATGTTCACTCAAAGAAGAGGATAGGACCGAGACGGTCATAGAAGCATATCCCTGCTTCAGAGAGCACCAGCATGTGAGTAACTCTTACCATTCCTTGATAATTGTTGTCAATCAGCCTGCCAATGTAATTGAACACAAAGTTTAAGGGATAGTAACCCCATTTTAAGGCATGGTCACACTGCCCAAAACGCATGAATTACGTAAACATTTTGTTAAGATTTGGTTGTGCGTGATTGTTAGTGGAGAATTTGACAATTTCTGCTGATTTACGTGATGAAAAATCACCGATGAATTGCGCAAGAACTACGGAAATGTCACGTACAAATCACTAACAAAGCACGCACTTCAGCGCAAATCAGAGCATAGCCCCCAAACATGGCCAATAGGTGTTTGTGAACGACGAAAGCTCCACGCATAACCTGCGCTCTATCACTAATTAACTGCGTATAGGTCGCGCATGAATCACGCAGGAATCACTTATGGATCGCTCATGAGCCGCTAACAACGGGCGTCACTATCGCATCCGCTCCGCGCTTATATAAGCTGGCACTGACGGGGGTGTGGCATTACCGTTTCAACAGTCGAAGCCACCACATCATACTATAGAGAAGAGACCATGCCTCCCAAGAAAGGCCGTCAGCCATCCAAGACCAGGGAGAAGAAGAGGAAGGCCCCAACTGCTCCAGTAGATGTGCCTGTAGATGCTCCAGTAGATGCTGTGCCTGCTCCTACTGAAAATAATGCCGCTGAAGATGAAGATGAAGATGAAGAGGTCGCCAGGTCCCCGAGCCCTCCACCTGCTCTTGAAATCCAAGCCGAGGTGCATGCTCCCCCTGCTGCTGCTGCTGCTGATGACGCTGCTGCTAAATCTGGTGCTGAAGATAACCGTCCTGAACCCTCTGCAGGCAAGGGCAAGGGCAAGTCCAAGGGGAAAGCAAATCCCAAGCATGACTACTCCATTGAAGCAGAGAAGGAAGAAAGTCTGCTTGAGTGGATGGCAGAGCATGAAGCAGCGTGGCGGCGGGGCCATCGAGACTACAAGAAGCGCAGGGAGATCTGGGGTGCCAAGGCTGCTGAGATTGGTATGTCTGTAGAGCACATCATGGGCTGGTGGAAGTCTGTGAAGGACTGGTATGTCCGGCTCAACAAGGTGAAGTCTGGCCAGGCATTGAAGAAGTACACAGACCGGGAACAATTCATCATCGACAACTGCAAGTTTTACAAGACCCAGTTGCCATCTACCAAGTCAGCACCCATGGTCAACTTGCAGATGACCACGTCCACCCAACCAGCCCGTGTCAGTGACTCTGAGCCAGACAGTGACCAGGAGCAAGCACCGACTTCCCTTGATGCCAACCTGGAGGTGGTGGAGAGGACTTCAGCCGAGGCAGCCGAGGCAGGCCACAGTTCCAGACCCATGAAGAAGAGGAAGAGGGAGAGGGGCGACCAGGAGGAAGAGTGGATGAAAGAGCTGAGAGACACCATGAAGGCGAACCAAAAACTGCTAGCTCAGCTCATACAAGAGAAACCTGCCCAGTCCTCTGAGCATGAGGTGTTCATTAAATATGTGTCGGTCAGCCTGCGTGCAGCACCAGCAGAGCAATACCAGCAGCTGAAGACCCGCATCTCTAATCTCCTTGACTCTGCTTCCCAGGACACTGCTCCAGCTCCTCAGCCTGCAAGACCTGCCCAGGCCACGTCTGCTCCACCTGTCTTCCACCAATCACAGCAGCAAGTTCCTCTGTACCAGCAGCAGCAGGATCCTGACTACCAGCAGCAGCCGGCTCCTCAGTACCAGCAGCAGCCTTTCCAGCAGTACCAGCATCAAGGTCTTCAGTACCAGCAGTACCAGCAGCAGCAGCCTATACCAGCAGCCTCACCAGAGCCAGAGTCACACTTCCTCTGCTGCTTCTGGTGAGCAGCGCTTGTCGGCATCCAGTTTCAATCTTCTGCAAACAAGCCAAGAAGTTCTCGATGGGTCAATAAACCTCTCCGCCTTCAGCCTTGACAGCCAGCTCTTGCCGACCCCCAGCTCCAACAGACCCAGCACACAGTCCCTGAATACACCTCCAGCTCCTCAGCGTGATGAGAAGGACAGTGACTCTGACTAGAACTAGTTGCAGCAGAAGATTGTTATTGTTATTGTTGAATAAATGACATTTTCTTTAGCTACTAGTTATTTGTTTTGTGTGGAAGTTGGTATGCTTGACATGTGAATATGAATAGACATGGTGGTGTGAAGTGTTATCAATTTTGTAATAAATAGTCTTTAAAAGAAATGAAGTACAGTACAAAACACTAGACAAAACATGAAAAAAGTTCTTCAACATACCACAATAAACATATACTACATATAACAGAAACATACAGAAACATACAAAATACAAATTATTTCATATTCCATTATAACAATAAAACATAACAGCCTCCTGACTCCAGGTTGTCTAGACGTCCACCATCCGGTCTTGCCAGGGGACAGCACCTGCTGGAGAGTTGCACCAATGCCTCAACAAGTTCCTTTGCCTCTTGCCTTCCTTGGATGCTCTGTTGGGTGCCTGAACAACACGGGTGTCTTCCAAGTTTCTCCCCTCTCGCCAGGCACCAGGTTGCATGTTGCCATTCGGGCCTTGCACATCGACCAGGCGATTCTGAAGCACAGGGTACCGAGTCCGCATGAGGTTGTGTAGGAGCATACAGGCCTTGACGATGAGCCTTACATTATCAGGGTGATGGTTCATGGTGCTCAGAAGAATTTGGAATCTGTTGGCAAGGATGCCAAAAGCATTTCCCACCACTCTTCTGGCCCTTGACAGCCTGTAGTTGAAGATTCTTGGTTCCCTGTCAAGGTTCCTGGTACCGTAGGGCTTCATCAGGTAGGTTCTCAGGCTGAAGGCGTCATCTCCCACCAGGAAGTATGGCACATCTTGAGTGTCGTGGGGCAAAGGCTCTGGCTGTGGCCATCCCATGATGTTGTTGTGCTCCAGGCCTTCACGCAGCTCGCTGTTGTTGTAGATATGAGCATCTGAGGAGGAGCCATTACCAGACACGTCTACCCACAGGAACTTGTAATCAGACGTCACCATAGCAAAGAGGATGATACTGAAGAAGCCTTTGTAGTTGTAGTACTCAGAACCAGAGTGAGGGGGAGCCTTGCATGCCACGTGCTTGCCATCAATAGCGCCGATGACGTGGGGGAAGTTCCATCTCTGGTACCAGTCATTTTCCAGTTCCAGCCAGCCTTCTTGAGTGGTGGGAGGTGACATCTGCTCATCTCGGTACTCCTCTATGATGGCCTCGCAGACTTCTCTGACAACATTGCTGATAGTGTTGTGGGGGACCCTCCAGGCATACTGCATGTCACGGTACTTGGCGCCAGATGCTAGGTGACGAAGGGTAAGGGCCACCTTCAGACCAGGATCAAGGGGAGCTCTCCAGTTGGTTGTCTTCTTGGTAATTCTGGTGGTCAGCCTCTGGACAATCTCGTCAAACATGTTTGGAGGCATACGCATGAAGTTCTGGAAGGATCTTGGGTCTTCATTGCGGAGCTCCACCATCAGTCGATCATACAAGCCAGCTCTGGTCTTCTAAAGATCCACTCTCTCACCCAGATGTTTCTAGCTTGTCTTCTCCTCCTTCTTCTCCTTCTCTTGGCCAACATCTCATGAACGTGCAGCAGCTGATCATTCTGGTTCTGGAGCAGGAATACTAGGACATCTCTCCTCTGGGGGTTCATGCTGATGAGATGTGTACCCCTTGGCAGCAGGACAATAATGGCAGGACTTGAAAAAATAGCCGCTTTTATATAGTGCCAATCATACGTGAGTTGTTAGTGATACATCAGTGACTCATCAGTATTTCATAAGTATTGCATGCGCTTATTTACGTGTTCTGTTAGAGGTATATACGCCAATAAAGATTTTTTTAAGTGATTGTCAGTGATTTTAAGTGAAATATACGTGTTACTAGTGCGGAACATGCGTGATATGTCTGTTATTCTTCAGTGAAAAGTCATCGATGAACGCGATAGCGGCAACATTTTCGCGAACAATCACTAATAATCTACGCATATTTCGCGCATTGTCCACGTAAGAACTACGCAACCTACGCAGAAATAACGTAAAAACAGCTTAAAACGGCGTAAAGTCTTACGCAAACCGATTTTTGAGCTGCACAAAACCAGGAATCGCGTAAAACGATGATCGGGCGTACATCCACATACAACCACTGAGGTTCCACGTCAGAAAAAATGATGAAATACGCAAATGACAGATGTATCGCGTAAGACTAAAAATGTGTGCGAAATTCATACGTAATTCATGCGTTTGGGCAGTGTGACCATGCCTTAAAAAGAGGATTTTATTATTTTGTATTATTCTTGCGTAATATCTTCATCATCCACCAAGATTTGAGAGTTCCTAAAAAGTCACTAACTGTAATAAAACAGACTGAAGGGCAGAGTGGGCATTCTTCTAGATTCTAGAGAAAGGTACAATAGGAATTGACTTGCTCAAATGTGCAAAATTACTAACACTGCAGTAGGGGTTCGCAACTGTTGTTGATCAATGGCTGCTCAGATTTTGAGCTATTATGAGAATTCCAAGAGTATAGAGGCATGGGACATTACATCTATGCCTAGTGATAGTCATGCTCATGCTCAATTGTTTGTCCTAAAGCCTTGGATCCACTGCACAACTTTTAAAATCTTAACAGATTATGAAAAGACAGTACACTAACTGACTGAATTTTGTAGATTTTATTGATTTTATTGTTTACCTGTTTCTGATGAACATTGCTAGTCTAAATGTTAAGCAGAATGGGAGTCTGAAATTGTTTGCTGTTTTCTCTGTATCAAAGTTCTATTGATTTTTACACTCAGGTTTTGGACGAGATGGGCCGAATTCTAGAGGCAGGCAACAAGAACTTCACTTACCAGATCAAAGCCAGATGGGAAAGCTTTTGCGAAAATGCGCTGTTCTTTGGAGTGTGGAACAAGTCGTTGAAGCCACCAATGGGTCTGGATAAATGTAAGCATAATGTATAGATAACACTGATAGGTTGGGGGTAACCATTTAATGGCCGCATGGGATGTGATTGTATTAGCTTATTTTCATTATTTTGATAGGACAGGATCTCCTTTTTGATGACTGAATTATGGCAAAATAGTAGTGGTCACTAGAGGGTTTAAACACTACTACCTTAGTCATGTATACAGGTGACCCTTATTGTTTTGCTTTCTCTTGTGCAACTGACAAGTGCTTTTTATATCCCCTGCACCGCTGCCCCCCCACTATCCAGCCAAACTTTCAGTTTGCTGATCCAATAACTGCAATCGTTTTTATTTCACTCTTTAATTTCGCTGTGCACATTCAATATCCCTAGGAGAACCGTTTGATTTTGGTGATCCCACGCTCTCTGTCTTATTCATTCAGGCCAAATTCCCAAGGTGACATTAAGATTCATGTCGCTTCAGGGATACACACATACACTGTCGTTCACCAACAGCATAGTTTTTCCATGATTAGCTTATACTCCCTATACTCAAATTGCCTAACACAAACAAGCACAATGCATTTGATCATGTATCCATATTGTTTTTCAGCTGGACAAGCGATTGCTTTCATGAAGGCACTTCCCTCAATGTTTCCTTCCCCAACTGCCCCACCCAAAAAGCTTGGGTCAGCAAGTGAGGCACTGTTCCATGTTCTTGAGGTGAGTCTGAGTGAGTATCAGTTAAACTGAAATAAAACGTGATATTCCCTGAGGTTTAATTTGTTTCTACTTTTTGTCTCTACTTTGTTGCTCTCAGCCATCCGAGGACCCCAATACATTTCTCCAGAAACGGCCCATCACCAGTCCAGTCATCTTGGTAGACTCTACTAACCTCCTCCTGGCTGTTGGCAAAATCCCACTGATGACCCTACCTAAGGAAATGATCCACGAGGCTCCACTCATCCTGATGGGGTGTTTTTACACCTTCCACCTCACCTACCCCAAATGTGTTGCTACTCTCTTATCCGTCATCCAGACTGAGGTACTGAAGGACAGTATTCTTTACTTTATATACTTTACTCATTCATTCAAAAAAGCAATAGCTGAATGGTCAGAATTCACAAACAAGTAGAGAACTTGAATTCTGTGTCCAATGTTTGTCAGTTCTATGAGGATGTATATATGTTGAAGAGCTTTGTTCATTTGAAAAATGATCCTGTTTGTTATGGACTGACTTAATAAAAACGTGTTTTTTGAAAGAATTGTCATGTTTACTTATTTTTAAGAGCATGTGTTCTAATTTATCTCCCTAAAAACAAGAATTTCATTACATGTTATCGCTTTTATCCAAAGCAACTCACATACTCAATACTATGGGCAATCCCCAAAGGAGCAATTTGGGGTGAAGTGTCTCAGGGACACAACGACATGCTGACTGCAGTGGGGTTTGAACCTGTGACCCCCTTATCCTAACACCAACGCACTACCCACTGCGCCACACGCCTCCCTAAATTCATAAATCTTATTTTAAGTAATTTGATGCTAAAAAGTACCCTAGTTTTGAGTGATAATAGGCTTCTTTTGCATTACATAGGCTTAACTAGATTGCTTGAAATTAGTGTTTTTAATCTTATTTTAAGTAATGAAGCTAAAAGTACCCTAGTTTTGAGTGATAATAGGCTTATTTTTGCATTAAATAGACTTAACTAGATTGCTTGAAATTAGTGTTTTTGATCTTATTTCAAGATTGTATGTGCTATAATGACAGTCGGACAGCCTGACTTGTTTTAAGACATCTTATCAAGTAAAATTTGCTTACTGCACTGGCAGCCAAATGTGCTTGTTTTAAGTGCAAGCATGCTTATATCTAGAACGTTTGGCCTTAAATTTGACAGGGCGTTTTTGCAGTGACACACACACACACACACACACACACACACACACACACACACACACACACACACACACACACACACACACACACACACACACACACACACACACACACACACACACACACACACACAACAGGGCAAGGAAGCAGATAGGATTGGTTGATAGTGATCACAAAGACACAGTCAAAGAAACCGCATGTTAGAGCCAAACCATTAAAACTGGACCAGACAACACAGTGAAGCAGCCTCATGCTCTCCTGATACAACCCAGCCTCATGGCATTTCGTGTTCACCAACACGATTTTTAATCTATTGATTCTTGTTCACCAACACGATTTTCCCCTTTTTTTCGTGCCTGCAGCACGTCTTTTTCTCCGGTCGGGTCGTGGAAGACCGGAAGCTGTGTGGTTCATAAAAACATGTTCTTACTCAATATCAAGCCACAATTATTGCTTTTATTTTAAATCGTATAATTTCGGACTTTTTTTTGCCGTCTGTGAGGAAAATAAATGGGGCTCAGAGCCTCAGAATACTGAAATCTGACGTAGGCCAGACGTAGGCCTCTAGGAGTTTAGGATGGCCGAAGACACTACACTACCCATAATCCCCAGCTTGTAATTTGTTATTCTTTTCAAAATAACACACTGTTATTTACTCACCAATAACACACAATTATCCTTGCTTTTATTTATTGGTTTAATTCCATAATCCCTGGCTTTTTTGGCGTCCGTCAGGAACTGAATTTCAAAATAACAATAACCGGAAACAGACGTAGGCATTTCGAGCGATTACCCAAGATCCTCAGCTATGGTTTAAGCTAGCTGATTGGATGTTTTAGCCGCAATGCATGCTGGGATTTGGTGTTTATATGATATGAAATCCGGAAAACATTTTAAAAGAATAAAATAATACTTAATTCCGAGTGTTCTTGCTTTTCTCTTTCAAAGTCATCACATAACGGCATTGTAATACACGGTTCGGCTGCATTACATATTACAGATCTGCCGTAGTTCTTTATTTATAGAGCCCTGATGAGAAGACCTTTGGAAAAACTGGAAGAAATGCCGCCGAAACTGAATACTTGACGTGGATCATAAATATATCATCATAAACAACATCTTCAATTTCTCTTCACACAATACGTCTCCTTGCAGTATCAACACTAATTCGGCTGACTTTTACATTTGATCTAATTCGTAGATAGGTTATAATTACACCTTAACGGTGCACAGCTGATATAAAAGGACTTGTAGTTTTTAAAGATATTACTGATTTTCTTTGAATATAAGAATGTAAATACTGAGTCTGAAATAGTATAGCAATATGCTGTAAAATTATGTGAAAGCATGAATAAAACTACACATCTTCAGATGTTGTACATACATAAGTGTCCTACACTAATAATACAAAGTTATTATGGCTGTGTGTACCTTGTGTGCACCGCCTAGTGGTTAAAGCACGTTATTGAATTATGGTTTTTATGTGTTATATGTGATTAAAAAAATATTAAGAGTACATACTTTCATAGGTGGAAAGTAGAAGGTCTGTGATAGAAATATAGAATATAAAAAATAAAGACGATACTCTAAGTGATCTCTACAATAAAACAGTTTAGGGCAGGATGTACAAAGATATTAATAGGAGGAGGTGCAAAACAGAAAAACGAATTAACCTTTATTTAAACATTAAATAATACTTTAGATTAAGGTCTTCTTTTAAATAAGAAAAACACTTTGGGGGTATCTATCTACAGATAAATATTAAGCCTGACAAAGTACTTAACGTCTAATATATTGCTTTCCTGCAATGTTAACTATGTTGAAGCACTTATTTTAACTGATATTATACATATGAATTATACTCTTATGTATGTAGATAGTATAAGAAATGTGCAGAATATGACAGTTTAATGGTGGAGGTATACACACATATTGATAGATGTCTTGTAATGCACTGTTGAGGAACCTGTGACCCAAGATTTTCATTCATTGCATACACCGTAGTTGTGTATATGATATGTCAATAAACCTTTGAAAATCTTGAAATCTTGAAAGGGATGTGCAAAATAGCCATAATATACAGTCTTTAATTAACTATTAGCAGAGAATAACGAGTAATGAATATACTTTATTACTCGTTTCCATTCATGTCAATTGCAGATAAATGTTTAGTCTTCTCAAGCATCCATCCATCTTCTCCCGCTTATCCGTGGTCGGGTCGCGGGGGTAGCAGTTCCAGCAGAGAGCCCCAAACTTTCTTTTCCCTGGCCACATCAACCAACTCTGACTGGGGGATCCCAAGGCGCTCCCAGGCCAGCGAAGAGATATATTCTCTCCACCTGGTCCTAGGTCTACCCCTTGGTCTCTTCCCAGCTGGACGTGCCTGGAACACCTCCCTAGGGAGGCGCCCAGGTGGCATCCTAACTAGGTGCCCGAACCACCTCAACTGGCTCCTTTCGACGCGCCAACTATCAAATATCTCTCCTGATTGTTGGCACTTGACAATCACCTTACCTGAATTTTACTCAGGTGTAACTAAAGTCTGATTTAAGGGTTGTTTATATTTCACATCATTAATCAGAATCTGCAAAGTAACTCAAATAAGTGTAGTGGAGTAAAAATACCAGGTTAACCTCTGAATTGTAGTGGAGTAGAATTACAAAGTAACAATGAGCTGTCATGTGGGTATATTAATGCTGCGCATTATGGACACAAGCGATTTTCACCCATTTATTAATTATATGTTTTACATTTGATAGCACCAATGTGCTTAATACTGGCAACTTCTAATTGTGGGAAAAACGAAAACGTTCAGTAGAGACGTCCCATAGAACATTTTGCGAAACACAATAGCCAGCATGTGTAGTTCTGGGGGGGCGTTCGATTCCAGTTTTGGATAGTCTGGCGTGGTTTCGTTCCATTTCAAACAGCTGTTTGACGCTCGGCATAACCTTGGCGCACTGCCACTCCAACATCCAATCCCAGAGCTTCAAGATTAATCACGGGGACTGTAGTCCTAACCGATAGCTGGGGATTATGGGTAGTGTAGTGTCTTCGGCCATCCTAAACTCCTAGAGGCCTACGTCTGGCCTACGTCAGATTTCAGTATTCTGAGGCTCTGAGCCCCATTTATTTTCCTCACAGACGGCAACAAAAGTTCGAAATTATACGATTTAAAATAAAAGCAATAATTGTGGCTTGATATTGAGTAAGAACATGTTTTTATGAACCACACAGCTTCCGGTATTCCACGACACAACCGGAGAAAAATACGCGCTGCAGGCACGAAACACATACCAGTAGAAATACATTGCTTTTAAAATCGTGCTGTGCAACACCAAAAAAAGAGGAAAATCGTGTTGGTGAAGACGAATCAATAGATTAAAAATCGTGTTGGTGAACACAAAATGCCATGAGACTGGGTGGCCTGACACGTAATTTGTAAATGTATTCATTTAGCAGCATGTTTATCTCTTCCGATTCTTTCTCATGTCCAGAAGTTTATACCTTCAGGCTCCAAGTGATGGTATGTTGTTTTGCAACCATAAAGCCACCATGATATATAAAGCTAACGTTTTTGCTAACTAGCATGCAGAGGCTAGCTAGCATGCAAAGGCTAACTAGCAAGCAGAGGTACAGTAGTCTTCCTACTAGGACTAAATATTTTTCTAGTCGTGAATTAAGGCCATTAGTCGACTAATCGTGAATTTACTCCAGGTGGAACTAAAGTCTGATTCAACACTTGATTATATTTCACATCATTCATCCAGATCTGTAAAGTAACTAAAGGTATTAAATATATGTAGTGGAGTAAAAGTACACCATTGTTACAGCCGCTGCTACCTTGTGCCCTTAACTCTGTTTGTGTGTGTGTATGCAAATGAGCTGTACAGTTCCTATGCTGTCAGTGACCTCGCAACATCCGCGGGGATTGGACAGACGTCACCCAAGCCCTGTCCGCTTCTGCCACGTCATCCGGGGGAGGAGTATAAAGGCTGGGCACGGATACCATTTGGGAGGCTCTGTATTGTGTGACAGACGCCTCAAGCCTCTCCTTGTGATACTGCCTTCGTTCTGTGACTTCTGAGACTGTTTAGCCGTGTGCATTCTGTGTTAGCTACACTGATTAGCAGTGTATTCAGTAGGGTTTCTGTGCGAGCACTAGTGCTGGGGGGGAAACGATTATTTTGAAAACGATTAATCGGGCGATTATTTGATCGATTAGTCGACTAATCTAACGATTATTTTTCTGTTGTTCAATTCATAAAAAACGTAATG